GAGGCCGGCAGAGCGCGGGTCCCAGCCCGGTGGGCGGGGCGAGCAGGGGGACCGAGGTGGTCGACTTGATTTCTTCCTAACCGCCAGGGATCGTCTGGCAGGCCCGAGCTGGGACTGTAATTCCCCGATTGCGGCCTCGCGACACCGGACTTGAGGCCTTTGCACCTGCGGCTCCCATGCTTGTGGCTGTGTGGATCGACACCTCCCACGCAGGACGCTGATCCCAGCGAGAGGCAGTCACTGCCTGGCGCTCCTGGGTGGGTTCCGGGGCCCAGGCTCTGCTTTCTGCTCGGGTTCACTAACGACCCAACAGAGGGCAAGAGAGCGGTGAGGGGCTCCAGGGCTAGGACCCCGCGTGCCGCTGTCTCAGGGCTGCAGTGTGGCTGGAAGCTGGGTTCGTGCTGACCTGCCCTGACGCACTCCTGGTCACTATCCACACCACGGAGGAGGGCCATGGGAGGGAGCCACCCTTCCCCCGTGGAAAAACCCGTCCCACCACAGTCCTACTTCTGGAATCCATGGAGCCGGTCACTCAATGGAGGGACAACCGCAGCATGTACGACTTGACTTGTCAGGGTGGTGCTAGTGACATCTGGGGGCAGTCCATATTAGTCACCTTACTTCCTTTGCCAGCAGGGGGAACTTGTTCCTGTGGGCCTGACCTCGGTTAGAGTAGGGGAGGCCTCACTGAGCATCTGAACCAAGGGGCTCCTAGGGAACCCACCTGGCTCCTGCAGGACATCTAGATGCCCCCAGCCAGGCCACCAGGGCAGCCGGTTTGCCCATCCCTGCTACCCAATCGCTGAGAGATGCACCCAGACCTAGGAACCCCTGAACTAGGGCAGGCTGCACCAGAGCAAAGGGATGATCCCCGGGGGGAAGAGGAAAACAGGGAGGAGCACATTAAGAGAGGATACTGTCTCCAGGCAGGGCTGCTGCAGAGGAAATGCCTGGGAATATGCTAGAACTTCTGAATGGGAAACAGGAAGCTTGTTCTTGGTTCCAGGGACCAGTCTAAAAAGAAGCTGGGAGGGGAGACGTGGTCCTCCATGATTACAGGACTGATCCACTTGAGCCTCAGCTGAGGGCAGAACTCTGGGGAAGCCTCAGGATACCAGGGATCAGCTGGCCCTCCTGGAGCTGCCTCTGAGGCAGACTGTCCACAAACTGAAGAGTAAACCAGCCACTGGATATGGATGAAGGACCCAAGACTTAGTGCCCAGGAGGCCTAAGGAAGAGCATCTAGGCAGGAGGAACAGCTAGTGCAGAGGCCCCGCTGAGGAGTCAGGGGAAGGCACACCACTTCTGAGGACTCCTCCGTCCTGCACCCAGAGAGTAGCACTGTGCCGCCTTCCACTGACAGCCCTCCCCTTTGCCCTACACACCCCAGGCAGCCAGTTGTGAGGACCCTGGTCTCCACCCCTCCTCTCTCCTTTCTCAACCAGATTATTCCCTGGCCCTGCCTCTGTGCAGGCCTCCCATAGTCCTCTTGGCTATGGGAGGGCTTCGACCCAACCTTGGAGCCTTGAGGAGGCAGATGTTCCCAGAGGCCCACACCTACTGCCTGCACTTCTGTTAAGGAAGAGCAGTGTTCATGGACACTCCTCCCTGCACTCAGGAGAAGACATGAGTGCACCTGACTGCTTCCTCTAGAACTTTGTTTCCTGACCTAGCATGTTAATTGAAACAGCCAGCATTTCCATCACACCCTCCCACAAGCTTCCCAGAACGTCTTCCAGAGCAACCTGAAACCTCTGCAAAGAATCAAAACCAAACCAAACAACACCCGCCAGATGGAGACTCTGTGTTTCAGCATCTTCCACAGCTCTTGGGATGGTCTCTTGTGCAGGCCCCTCTAAGTTCTGACCCCACTAGTCTGTGGGGTTGCCTCTTCTATTCTCTCCCTCTCTGTCTGGGTGGGTTAATCAGTGAGCCTTTACTTCTCTGGCGTTGGGGACTGGAAGTCCAGGGTCAGAGTGATGATGTGGTCAGGTTCTGGAGAGAGTCCACTGCCCTCCCCACTTCCTAAGGGAGCCGCTGTGCACTGTAATGGTAGAATTGTGCTGCCAAGTTCATATATTGGAATCCCTTAGCACCTTGGAGTGTGACTCAGTTGGAGACAGGGACTTTACAGAGATGATCAAGTTTAAAACAAGGTGATTAGGTGGCCCTTGTCCCCCACGACTGGTGTCCTCGTAGAAGGGGAGCTTGGACAGACTCACCGCAGAGGGAAGGCCCTGTGAAGATGAAGGCAGAGGTCAGGGTGGTGGTCTACAAGCCAAGGGGCCAGAACTGCCAGGAGCTGCAGGGGACTGGCACAGCAGCTGTCTCAAAGCCTCAGAGGACCCAGCCCTGGACACCCAGATGGTGACTTGCAGCCTCCAGGACAATGAGACATTAAGTTTTAAGCCTACTCAGTTTGGGCACTTGTTATGACATCCTTAGGACACTCAGAATTGTCATCTGTGCTGTTTGGTGATCAGCCTCTCTCTCCGAGTTTTGCCTGAGAGCTCCAAGATCAGCCCATTTAACTGCTGCTGTCCCCTGGTAGGAACTGTGTGTATTCCACTTTATCTGTTCTATTGTCAGTGGGCCCAGGGTATAGGCAGACCTTGGCTGTTATAAATCAGGCTTTGTGAGCATTCTTCTTGTGTTTGGATACCACATGCTCAGAGATCCCACCGTAGACTAACACCAGTCATAGGACATGCTATGTTCCCTTGGAAGATAATGCCAAGCCCTTTTCCAAAAATCCACACAAAAAGTCAAGTCTTCGGGATGGGGCTGTGGCTCAGTGGTAGAGTGCTCGCCTAGCATGCGTGAGGCCCTGGGTTCCATCCCCCGTACCACATAAACATAAACAAATAAAATAAAGGTATTGTGTCCATCTACAACTAAAAAAATATATATTAAAAAAAAAAAAAGCTAAGTCAGGCCTCCACACTTGTCACAATCCTGGCTCTAGTTCGGCTGCAGGCAATCTCCATTTGGCTTCCCCTCCCCCTGCTGGCAAGCAGGCTCCACCTGCCTTGGGCACCTGCCCCTGCAGCTCTTATGAGGCTGTCATGCATCCTGGCCTGTTTTCTACGGAGTGTCTTATTCTTATTGACCTTTAGTTCTGGACATAGTCAGGACATGGCTGTCTTGTTGGTCCCAGTCGGTGCTCATTGCTTGTATAGTCTGGTTCACAAAGAAAGGCTGTCTGTCGCCCGCTGCCCTGAACTAGGGCAGGCTGCACAGCGCTCCTGGTGATGGCCTCACAGTCTGATCACAGTTTTGGCACTCGAGTGACACACTCTCATCTACTGCGTGGTTCTGTTTCAAGACACCATGTTCAGTGTGTATCTATACTTCCCAGAGACACCGTCTATTGGGCCTGACTGCAGCCTTCCTGACACTTGTCCTTCCTTGGGAGAACAGGTCACAACCATCTGGTGCTAGGGAACACATGACAGCACCAGCACTGTGCTGGGAACCATTTCCGACACTGATAGAGCCCCTGGGTTCAGTCCCTGTACCTAGATAAATAAGCAAACAAACAATCAGAAAGCAGAAAGGATACTTCTTTATAGTATGAGCTGAGCAAGCAGTGCGGGGCCTTGGGCCACCCCAGCAGGAGCCGCAGGTCAGTGGCTTAAATCTTTCTTTGCTCTGAGCATGGCCTTGAGTGATTGGAGAAGCACAATGAGCCTTGATTTGGGGTTACAAACAAATTTAGTATGTGGGTGAATCTGCAGACACAGGGTTTGCGTATATCATACAGGCCACACCTCTTCACATCAGGGCAGTGCTGCTACAGCTCTGGGGCTGGAAGTCCTCTTATCATCCTGCAGAGGTGGCCTCTTTTTAAAAAATATTTATTTTTTAGTCATAGGTGGACACAATATCTTTATTTCATATTTATGTGGAGCTAAGGATCGAACCCAGTGCCTCACGTGTGCTAGGTGGGCGCTCTGCCACCGAGCCACACCCCAGCCCTAGAGGTGGCTTCTGATGATGCTGGTTTTCATGTCTCAGAGCCAGCTGGGTGTCATGTGAGGTGGGGCTGGGTCCCTGCTTTGACCTAGCTTTCCCATGACCCACCTGCTGTACAGGAGGAGGAAACCAGGGTGGAACACTGCTGGGGCCTGTCCAGGTGTGGGCCGTCTACAGCTCTCCTCAAGAAAAAATGCAGAAAAATTATTATAAAATTAGGTACATGTTTATTCAGAACAAGAGAATAAATTACAACAAATTAAATGTTTTTAATTTTTATATTTTGGTTCAGGAGACAAACGCACGGGTGCTCTACTACTGAGCTACACACCATCACCCTCCTAATTTAGTGAGTTTTACAGAGTCCCGAGGCCATGTGACTGAAGTATCCCATGAGTGGACCCCCTGTGGACCTTGGCTCTTTTTCGCTGGTGCCCTGCCATCTCCACACCTCTGCAGGCTTTGTCAAGGGTGGTGGACACACTCCTTCAGCACATGTGCTTCAGGATCAGCTCCCTGCAGAGGCAAAGACACCTGTCCGTTTCTTCTCCCAGA